AATCTATTGATTTGAGATGTTAGAAATATGTTGTAAAAATATCAGAAGTCGCCACTTCCTAAATATTTCCATTATTTGGAGCGTGCACGATTTTTCTAGCGAGGTTTTCGTATGAGTGGGAAACGCGGATACGGCAAATTCTTATTCGTACTGTAATTGTATCGCATGTTACTGTAGCCGTAACTAATAACTATTCTTATGGAAAGCCATTTCAATGTTACGGCATGTCGCACTGTATACGTGCTGTAAGTCACTACCGTATGTTTCCCACTCATACGATAGCTATTCTTATGGGAAGCCATTTCAATGTTACGGCATATCGCACTGTATACGTGCTGTAAGTCACTACCGTATGTTTCCCACTCATACGATAGCTATTGTTATGGGAAGCCATTTCAATGTTACGGTATGTCGTACCATGTACGTGTTGTAAGTCAGTACCGTATGTTTCCCACTTATACCAAAACCGTTACAATTCAGGGGCGTAACAAAGGATATTCGTTGGGGTTGGGGCCAAAACCGCGTTAACTTACCTCTTGAAATTGAACTTTCCTGAAACACATCGAATTAATCGATGAATGAATAAATGAACGAGTGAATGAATTAAGGAAGAATCGAGGTTCAGGTAGGTAGGAAGAATGAATTGATGGAATGGAGGGAGGGAGGGAGGAAGAGATGGATGGATAGATGGACTAATGGGTGGGTGGGTGTATAAATGGATGGAGGGATGGATGCATGCATGGGTAGGTGGGGGGATGGATGCATGCATGCATGCATGCATGGGTGGGTAGGTGGGGGGATGGGTGGGTAGGTGGAGGGATGGATGGGTGGATGGATGGATGGATGAACGAGAGGTTGATTCAAAAAATTACAATCAATTTTATGAGAATAACTTTTTCTTTTTTCTCTCTCTGTCCGTCAATAACAGACAGCAGACGAATACATACAAAAATTGGCTGATATGGCGAGCGGAAATCAAAAAAAAGACCGTTCTTCGTTAGTCCACAGTTCCTTTTCCTTTGATGCATTTTGGGCCGTTGCTATAGCTTTGAATAACTCGATCAAAACTTTAGACAAACGTAACATAACCTTTGGAAGTAGAGCTGCCAATAAAGTAGTGTTTGAAGAATTCAGTAAAGTGGAGTTTAAAGGTATAGGGGTAAGTAATAAACACCTTGAGATATAAGACGTAGCATGTAGTTAACTGCATCCATTCGTATGAAATATTTAAAAAAAGACGTGATCGCCATGTTGGTTGATATGACAAAAGAGACCAAGACCAAATCTTTTGTTCATGTCAACCAACATGGCGGCTATGACGTCACATGCACAAGGACAAAAGACGTGGCCGCCATGTTGGTTGATATGACAAAAGAGACCAAGACCAAATCTTTTGTTCAAGTCAACCAACATGGTGGCTATGACGTCACATGCACAAGGACAAAAGACATGGTCACCATGTTGGTTGATATAACAAAAGAAACCAAATCAAATCTTTGTTCCAGTCAACCAACATGGCGGCTATGACGTTATATGGACATGTAAAAAAGACGTGGCCGCCATGTTGGTGAAGTTAAAATTCAAAACTTTATGATTGGTTAGCAATTTAGTTTAAGACAACAAAACATCCACAACCTATTCACCATTTTCCATACATCGGTTCRATGGTCAAACACAAAGCATTCAGTCGAGGTTACAAGGTTCAAATTTAAATGATCCTTTGAAACTACCTTCCAGTCTCGATTGAATGCTTTGTTGGTGAATTTTACTTAACAAATCAAAAACAGTTTTCCGTGTTTGATACTCTGATCAAAACACGCGGGATGTTGAGAGAACACGAGAGGAGCGTAGGAAACCACGACGCGTAGTTGAGAACTGTTTTTGATTTGTTTTATAAAATAACAAACGCGCGAAAAGATCGAAAAAAAGTAAAGTATAAATAAATTAAAGTTTCTTCCTCTTTATTTTCTGTTAGGGTCCATACTCTTATTCCAACAGTTCGAAAACGAGAGACGGGACAATTGCAATATTTCAGTTCAAAGAAGGTTAGTTTGACAGCCGTCTTTATTAGCAAATATGAAATTGGGCTTCCTGTGCCAATGATGGGTGGTTTTATATTTATTATTTTTCTATTTGTATTTTAGAAAAGAAAGTCCGGATTGGTTTACATGTTAAAAGAACAAATCAGCTGACATTTTTTAATGATACAAGCAATCTGTGGCAAAATGGTAAAGTTCCTTTCTACAAAAAAATAATGGTGGTGGTGGTGGTGATGATGATGGTGATGATAGTGATGATGATGGTAATGATGATGATGGTGCTGATGATGGCGATGATGGTGATGATGATGATGGCGATGATGATGATAGTGATGATGATGATGGCGATGGTGGTGATGATGATGGTGATGATGATGGTGGTGATGGTGATGATGGATGATGATGATGATAGTGATGATGATGGCGATGGTGATGATGATGGTGATGATGGCGATGGTGATGGTGATGAGGATGATGGTAATGATAATTGTAGTGACTGATGATGGTGGTAATGATGATTGTCATGTTAATGAGGGTGGTAAAGTTGATGATGATGATGATGACAATGATGATGAT